TGCTGGGTTCCTAAAAACAACACTCCACAAGTTCTGGCTCCACAACCTCCTCCACCTGCTCCAAGGATCCAGCAGCCAGCCATAGGGAAACACTTCTCTTGATCCTTTCCCCATTAAGTCCCTTATTGCTCATTAATAAACAGCAAGATAAATGACAATTAAGAGCTTGATAGATAAGAACTACTAGAGGGAACCCCTCAAGTCACTGCTTGGGGTCCCCAGACGTCAATCCAGGGGAGAGATGGGCTGCAGCAGGGTTAAACTCTCACCCACAGCTGCAGCACTGCCCATTGCCCCCTCCCTGTGCCTCGGCTTCCTCTCCTGGCTGGAGCTGTCATGCAGCTAAGGTAACTCCAGCCCACTTTTCAGGGAACACACCACCCTCCTCACCTTCACCAATGCAGGAAATCGATGGAAGAAAAGCATCAGCAGCTTCCAGGTACCCTCAGTAACTTCAGCCTAGCCAAGCCCCTGTGCCAGCATTGGTCCCCACCTCTGCCCCGCTCCCAGGGGAGTGCAACCCCCCAGCACAGGACATGGGGTGTCACAGAGCGCGAGCCAAAGCCACTTCCAAAGCTGCCTCCAACCTGAATTTACACAAGCACATCATTCTCAGAGTCATCTCTGGAGCCATCCCCATCGCCTTGGGATGAGCTGCCCTTCTTGGCATTGACCTCCCTACCTCCCACACAAAGCACGGGCTCTGGGAAAGCCACAGGCAGAGACGGGGCAGGGGGGGGGACAGCAGCGCAGCCAGGAGGGTGAGGGCCAGCTTGGCCACAAACCATCTGCAATCCCCCACCAGTCAGAGCTTTGCCATCAGGGTAACAAGCAGGGACAAGCCACATCTTGCTGGATTCCTGTGAGCTGACAGGAGCTGTTGGTGTACGCTCCGGAGCCAGCTGTCTCCTCATTCCCCATCCCCACGCCAAGCCATGTTATCCCTGGTACTGCCTAATGGACATTAAACCTGGTCCCAAAAGTGGGATTTCTCACCTGCTGTCACAGCCACGTTATTGGTGATTATTGAGCACAAAGCAGCCAGGCAGATCCAAAGTCAACCCAGGAGAGCAGAAAACCTCAGTGAGACAGATCAAAACCCAGTTTAAGCAAGGAGCTGGTCTTAAATGCAGCTGGGGAACAAATGGGGTGGAGGGGGTGTGGGAGGGGTCCCCAGATGAGGCTGATCAGGCTAATTAAGACCTGTTTGTGCAGGCAGGACCCTGATGCCCTTTGTAGGGGGAGGATGTGGGAGTGATGCTGTGGGAACTGCTTGGGAAACTCATGACAAACCAGCACTTCCCCCATCCTTGGCACAGTCCCCTTTTCCCAGCACCAGCAGAGCTGGTCTGTAGGGGTTCTGCCAGGGCTGTTCAGATCCTATCCCTGGCTCAGTCTCAGGCCAGAAATTGTTTTCAGGTGCTCTGAGAGGTTTGTGTCTGCTAGGTCTGTCTGGGTTCAAGGGAAGGATCAGAGCTGGAGTTTAATTTGGGACTGAACCTGTGGCAGGAAGCCAGCCCTGAAACGCTCTGCAATCCCACAGCTGAAATGTCACTTAGTTTTCCTTGCTTTTAAATAAATCCAAACCAAACACCACCCCCAGCCCGACTTCCTCTGAAAGATTCAATCTGTCAGGGGATTTGCTAGTCTGGACCTCTGGAACAAATTCAACTAGTCTTTCTGAAAAGCAATTTGCAAGCTCCAGGGCATTTGCACTTTGGTTTCCCGGCACACGGTCTGTCCCAAAACTGGTGCCGAGCTCAGGACTGGCTTGCAGAGCCACAACATGCCAGTAAGGACATGCACGGAGCAGGGGATTTGCAGCCCCCTCCACCGTGCCCCAGGCCCTGAAGGGCTGCGAGCAACTGCTGACAAGTGACACCGGGCAGACATAAACCCCCAGCGTTGGGCCAGGCTGCACCACTTGGGCCAGCGCTTTAACCGGAGCTAATCTGGATTCTCTAATCTGGATTCTCTATGGTCAACTGACTGGGAGACCTTGGAAAAGTCAGCTGGGATAAAACACAACCTTCCTGGGAGGATGGCCAAGGAGCAAAGATCTCAGGATGAAAAGGTACTTTAAAAGACACTTATAAAGGTATTTACCGAGAGAAGCGCTTGGCCTTCCTCCCCCTAACAGACACTGAGTGACCCCACAAACAGTTTACCACCCCGCTCGGTTTACAGTAAACATCTGGCTTCTCCACATCAGCCTGTTTCACACATTCATAAACTACACATCCAGCATACACACGGGCTGGGTGGGGCGGCAGGAGGAAGCCACACATCAGGATGTAGAGACCTAACGTACCATGAATGAGAAACCTTCCTCCCCGTTTCCACCCCTGCTCCCCAGCTGCTGGCATCACCTGGTCTTTGAACATCCCTCCGAGCCCCATCGCTGGGGACAGTGGTTCTGTGTGTGTTCCCCCCCCACCAGCCACACTCCTGACTTCCCCACTGGGCCCTGCTGCTGGGAATCCCTCCGGAGCGGCTGTAGGGGAGAAGTCGCTGCTCTCCTCCCCGCGGAGGCTCCCACCAGCTGCAAGCTCCTACCGAGCCCAGTACAGAGATACCATCATCGCAGGCTAAATATAAACCTCCACCTAGGAGGTGAGCTCCATAAACGCCCTTGTGTTTCTCAGCATAAAGGGCTGCCTGCCCTTGCAGGGAGCAGCCAGCAACCCCCATCCCAGCAACTGCTTGTCCCTCCATCACAGCTGGGGGAAACTGAGGCACGGAGGAAGCAGGGAGAATCGCTATGTGAGCACTCGTGGTCTGCTGCCATAAACTAGGGCTGCTCCATTGCAGCTAGGGAAATCCAAGAAGGCTTGAATGCTGGCGTCTCGGGAGGCACTGGAAGAAGAAACAACATGCAGACCTGAACGAGAGAGAATTAGCTCATCAGGGCAGACAGCGAATGGCAGAGAGCAGACGGAAAGAGAGGCTGAAACCTGCAGCGTGCTCCCCCTCGTCCCACCCAGGGCACCCGTCTGTCCGCGGGCGCTGCACGGGCTGCAGGAGGGAAGCACTTCTGCACCGCCGCATTTGCTCCCAACAAAAGCACGGATTGAGGTAGGCACCCAGGTGTGGCCATGGCTGTGAACTTCCATCCTGCTCCCGACGCTGTGAGCGCAAAACGATCACGTGCATGTGAAATCCGCCTGTCTTTCACAGATGTCCCTGCTCGACATTCCCGGCTCGACACCAGGAGCAGGTTGCCCGAGAACATCGAGCCCATATAAGCACGGAAGCACACGCTAACCCTAGACCTTTGCACCATCCAGCCTATCTAGTTACCCCGAGGAGGGTTATGCCAAGGTTTTGCAGCACTGCTATCATTCGGTGTAGCCAGCGCTGGCACAAACCCATTCCTTTACCTTGATGCAGGCAGAAGGCAGCGAGGAGGCCACGCGGCACTTGGCAGCACATCCCCAGGGTCCTTGCAGCGAGCGCACAGGTCGGGCTGCCCAGGGTAAAGGCGTCCTGCAGCCAGGGGCAGAGGGTGGATGCAAGCCATGGGGTCTGCAGCCCCACTGGAGAGTCCCCCCTCGGCGAGCAGGCGCACAGGGAGATGTGAGAGGAGCCAGGAATCTTCTGCTGGACACGCTCAAGAGTTGGACAGGGCAGCTGGGAACAGAGAGGAGCTGTGCTTCTGCCTTTTTTTCCAGGTTTGCTGTTGCCAGGGAGAGGTTTTAGGCTGTCATCCAGCTAATTCACACCAGAGAGACAAGCACTTGAATTAGTTGCATTATCTGCGCCCAGCTAAAGTGGACAAAGGATTAAAGTGTGCTGAGCACCACCGCCGTGATCTGCATCTCAGAGCCCCTTCCCACGGGGCCCCTACCGCCCGGCCTCTGGCTGCGAGCCAGCCGGCATGAGAGCCCTGTTTACAGAAGTGATGCCTAGGTTAATATTGCAAAAGACTTCATCAAAGCTTGTAGTCGCTACTGAAGCAGAAGTATCCGACCGTGGGCCACGAGCCGACGGGGCTGCGCACACCGGGGATGAGCTGTCCGCGCCGCGCACGCAGCCAAGTGCTGGCTACCCTGTGTTTGACCAGTCCTGGTCTCAGCCTGAGGTATGAAACTAACCAAAATGTCTGAAATAATGAGCTAAATCGAACTATTATTAATTTTTAAAGCTGCACAGGAAACTCGGATGTAGCTATTGTTTTAGGGAATAACCCCCGCTGGAGTGCTAAATAAGTATTGCGCTGTGCAGTGACCTTATGAGACCTTTTCTTGAGCTCATCCAGCTGCCAAAGATATTTTTTTTAAAGCATGTTTATTCATGTGGGGAGTGTGGGGAATGCTATTGCTCTATGTTGCGTGCTGCCGGTCTCAAAAGAAATCAGAACTGGCATCTCTCGGGAGAAGCTCTAGATCTAAACAGAGATGAACCAAAAGCCTAACTGCGATCACCGGCTCCTAATTAATTAATGGCTTTAAAAATTGTTTTTTTCACCACTAGCACTTTGTAGGTGGGGGCAGTTTTCCTGAAGGGTTCACACTGAACTCTGCTGCGACATGCAAGCTTTGTATGTCTGTTTTTCTTGGCGTTTGCAGAGTTTTTCCCTTCTCAGCATGAGGACTGAGTGACCTTAGCAATTGCCAGCAAGGGGACTCCGTATGATGAAAGCAGGTGAAAGGGAAAATAAGGGCGGGAACGAGGTATGGCCAATTCATACCTCAGAGGAGGTGTGGTCCTGCTCTGTACCTGGCTGAGGTCACAGTCTTGTGAAATATAAAAGGGGAAGGCAGTTGTTTCTCAAGCAACCCGTTCCAGGATCCTGTAGCAAGAAGGAAGGGAGGTGCTAGGAGAAATGCAGAGCAAAAAGTCCGGAGTGTCAGCTGCAAAGGGTGTGGGATGCGGTGGTGCCGCTGAGGCTCGGGAATACCACCAGCTCTTCTCCGTAGGTCTGTTGGCGGGGCTGAGGGCTGCATGGTAGCTGCGCTCCCTTCCCCGGCAGGCTGCCTTAGGAGGAGAAAGGAGCCACCATGTCCCCAAGAGGAGCACCAGCGGGCAAAGCTGCCAAGCCCCAGGACCGGGGATGGGCATGGATGGTCCTGCTCGCCGCAGTGCTGCTGCAGGGGCTGACGCTGGGCTTCCCCTCCTGCATTGGTGTCTTCTTCACGGACCTCCAGCACGAGTTCCAAGCCAGCAATAGCGAGACGTCGTGGTTCCCGTCCATCATGGTGGCTGTGCTGCACGGAGGCGGTGAGTAACGGCTGCGGGGAATGTCCTCCACCGGCTCCTGTGGTTGTGTTGCTGGTGAGGGGCTGTAACGAGGGCACTTTTAATATTTCATTATGGTGGTCAGTGGAAGGAGAGATCTGAGCAGACCAGCTGGTTGGCAGCACATCGCATCTTCCAACCACTCTCATCCATGCCCAGGGCTAAGTGTCCGCAGACACCAAGCTCCCTTTTGCCCCTCTAAGAGCCAACCAAGACTCTTGCTCAAGGAGGTGAATCCCTTTCTCATCCCAGCTTCTCCAGAGCAGTGAGAACTTCATTATTCCCCAGAGCAGTTCTTCGAATAAGCTGGCAGGAAGCACTGGAGCTCGGGTGCTTTCTTGATTCATCTTCTGTCCACGAGAACACATCTCCTTCATGTGCCACACGACAGCTGTGTTCTTCATGGCTGAGAAGATGCCAAAAGCCAAGCTCCTCCGGGCTGCCAGCTGAGGCAGAGTGCTAAAAGCAAGAGGGCACACCCAAGCAGGCATCGGGGTGGACATGAGCAAAGCTGGATTAATGCAGAATGTGGGTCAGGCAGCACCCAGGCGAAGGGGGATGGAAGGGGGGTTGCACTTTGTGGATAGTGGAGTGAATCACTGGTTTTATCCCCCAGACAAAGTGTGGGAGCTGCACAGGACAGCGTCCCCTGAGTCCCCACCCAGACGGATATTTCTGGAGAGAAAAGCACCCAGAAGGTCCAGGAGTTCCCAAAGAGCAGCCAGTAGTGCTTTTGACCCCTCCACGTCCAGCTCCTGTGCTGATCCGATAAACAGACTTCCCAGAACCCGCCAGGCAAAAGCAGCAAAATATCCAGTGATGCCCACCTGAGCTGCTCCCCGAACTCAGACCTGCCCCCTCCAACACCGGTGGAGGGTGAGGCTGTGGTACGAAGAAGGGCAAAAGCAGAGCTCTGAGCAGCGCTGATGCGAAGGCTGCGGCAGTTCAGGCCCCTGTGAGGGACCTGCTGACGTGGGAGAGTTCGCACCTTAGCAGGGCAGTTGGGTCCAGAATTGCAAGGTGCAGATGGAAAGAGACCTCCGAGGAAGCGACTACAGAAGGAATTATGACTGAAGGTCAGCAGAAATAGAGCATTATCCTTGGGGCTTTGGATTTGGAAACTGCTGGGCATTCCCTGTGCTGCCTGCCATCCCCCTGCGGTCCTGCTGCCGTTAGTGGGAAGGAGGCAAACAGGACCTGCTGGCTCTGGGAAAGGGTCTCAGAAGCAGCTCAGTCCCAGCACATCCAGGAAGGACAAATCTGGCAGCATCCACAAGAAAATATCAACTATCCTATCTTCTTTAATGAAGTAATTGTTTTGTTGGAGGCTGTACCCACAGTAAAAGGTAATACAAAGACAGCCAGTAAATAGATCCAAAAGTTACGAATTAGCCAAGGAGGGAATAACCTCACGTTCACTATATTCACTAACAACTTGTCAGGGCATAGCCAGTGAAGTACAAGACTTGTTGCTCTGCTCGCCAGTTGCGTCTCCTCCTGCAGACTGTTACAGCAGAGGGGTGCTTCTTGTTGTGCCCCAGGAGTAACACAACCATAGACCAGGAAGAAAAAAACAATGAAAAAACAGAGATAAAAGACTCCCTCTCAGGCCAAGCATGTATGGCTTGTGCTGCAACTTCTGACTTCCTTCACAGGGGGCCAGGCTCTGTTTGATTCAAGTTCTCTGGTTACATCCATCATCTTGGCACTTAAACCCTTCCCAAAATTGGATTCTGCTATGTCACCAGTGTCTCTTAAAGGTTTTTCTCTCTTTTCTTTTTCTTCTCCTCTATCCTTTTTAATTCAGTGAACCGAAGGGGGAAAAAAGTGTATTTGTTGCAAGAAACGATGAAGGGAAATGGGCAGATCAGCCCCTTCTCAGAGAGGTCAGTGGAGTGAGAAGGTCGCACGCAGGAGAGCTAACCTCAGCTCAGCAGGACAGGGAAGGGCACAGTGCAAACAATAGCACATAACTTACTAGACCAAACATATCTCATTACCCAGGCTGTGTGCCTAGGTAAAAGTGATTAATGGCTATTTTAAGAATCACTCAAGACCTCAACTCGATGGTCAACTCGGAAAGGGGAAATGCAGAGTTCAGGCTCTTCCAGGGTCCTGCTCCTAGATACAGATGTGCACGTCAACTCTCTGGATCACACTTGTACAAATGCAACACTTTTGTTGCAATTATTTTTGCAAAGAAAAGCACAAAAGCCCCAGGCGAGCAAGAAGTAACATTTGAAACCTAGAAAGTAAGTTAACAGGAAGAAACAATGAAAAACCCTTAAGATTTTTAGAGCCAATCTCATTATTTTGGAGCGTTCGGTTTATGACATCTGGCCACTTGGGTTGGTTCAACAGCAGCACCATCCTTCATGTCGTCAGCAGGAGGAAAAATCATCCAGTCACCAGTTTGCTGCACAGTTTTGCAAAGGCCAGTTGAAGTCTGAGGTGAAAATCCCCCAAGCAGATCAAAATACAGACAGCTGAAGTCCTAATTTTAATAACGTTCCACTGTTGGCTTGACTGTGTGGATTTTATTTCAAACCAGACGTTGACGTAGGTCACCAACATGCCACAGGTTATTTTCCCCCACGCTGACTGACTCCTATAAGCTTACAGTCATTTTGCCGTTGCTTATAAAACCTTAAGTGCTCAGAAGAGGGGGAAAATAATTAATAAAACCTGGAAAACCTTGAGGATCCTCAAAGGAAGCTTCAGGTCCTCTTCTGCCAGAGTGTGCAGAGAGAGGCGTGTTTCCCACTGATGGTCTGCAGGTCTGAAGTCATCTTTTCCTACCCCAAATTAAGGAAGCTAAATGATGTTAACAAACTGATCATTTACCATGATCTCATGGTTTGGTAAAGCCTATGAAAACTAAGGAATTTAACTGACCTTATACACACACCTCCATGCCTATTTGTTCCTTGCTCTTTCTGCTGCGATCACACAGCTCTTCCCTGGCAAAGCCTGCAGCAGTCTGCGTGCACAACAAAGCCCAGGTTTCTGTCCATCGGAAGCAGCTGGGTCTCGCTCCCGCCTTTGCGCTGTTTGTGCCGGAGGCGTGGGAGTGGGAACCGGGATGCACACGGTCTGCCCCAAGGCTTGCGTCCTCTTGGAAGTGGACACAGTTATACCTTCCCACCCCTGCCAGGTATGCCAGGACAGGCATGTGCAAGGAGCTGTGCTGACAACATCATCTTAGTATTTTCCTGGGGAAGATGACTTGCAGGACAGCTGCAAGACTCCACAAGCTGCAGCTTGGATGCTCCTGCCTGAAGCTTAGATAGATTCCCAAGCAGACATGAATATACCTCTCCAGCCATTTTCAAATAATCCTCCTTAATGACGTTCATTCTTCTCCCATTCTTGAGCTAGTTCAGAGTCAGTCTGCCTTCTCTTGCACGGAGTTTCACCCAGGTATTGGGACAGCAAGGGCAATGTAGGAGAGTTTGTGGCAGAATATTTGAAAAACACAGTGAAATGAGAGTGGAAATGTACAAACAGAAGTATCACCCTGCTCAGCATCTCTTACTTGGAGGTGCAGAAATAGAAGTCCTCTGCTTTTTCAAATCATTGCCAGAATTTATATCATGTGGGAACAGAATTACACTTGAAGCTCCTTCTTGTGTTCCTTTTCCAAGAGTTTTAACCCAAATCCACCACAGGAAAGCTTAGAAATCCTGCTCGATGTCCAAAACTCAAGCAGATTACAGGAGCCTTCTGTTCAGCTGACAAGTTGACCAAGCACTGGGGAGGATCAGGGAATATCTTTTCTACTCCTGGCTCCCCCATTACATGATGCTGCTGGGACAATCCTCAGGGTCTCTAGACTAAATCATTTGATAACTGCAGCACTCCAGTGGGTACAAACTATTTCCTTCTTCCCTAACTGCTTCCCTTTTGGTTCCAGGGCCCCTCTGCAGCATCCTGGTGAAGCGGTTTGGCTGCAGGTTTGTTGTGATGCTGGGAGGCCTGCTCAGCGGCGTGGGCATGGTGTCCAGCTCCTTCTGCGAGTCCATCAGCCAGCTTTACCTAACGGCTGGCCTCATCACCGGTAAGCACCAAAGAACAGCAGGAAAACCCAGCTGCTGGGCTTGACTCGAGAGACAGGGAACAGTGAGAGTCCTAAGTGCTCAGGTTTTTCCATTCAGCTGTGAAACAGAGTAAATCAGAAGCCCCACAGGGCAGGAGGAATTGTCTAGCAGCTGGGTTGCTCTTCACACCCCTTTAACACACACCTCTCATCCAGCCAAGCTCACTGGAAAGTGCTTCTCTCTGGAAAAGGCTGCAGGAGTCCAGAGGGAGAAATGGAGAGTAAAGACATCTGTTCTTTTTAGTAGCTTTGCAGCCTTTTGCCTTGGAAAAAGGTGGGGTTTTTTTTTCCAATCTTGGAATGTAATGTGTTGGGACAACGTCCCCCCCGGGTTCCCTGGACTTTTATTTCACCACTCCCAATCTGGGAAAATGTGGAGGTATCTTTTTGCTAACGAAAGAACACGTTGGTTTTGAACAGAAGTGACAGATGGGAACTTTCTCTTTCCAAATATTTCTCCTATGTGACTATTGTTCAAGTCTTGCTCTTTTCTAACATGGAGAAACTGATTTCTTCAGCCAGGTTGCTTTAGGACAAATCCTGTTGGATCTTGCAAGCTAAGCTGTGCCCGCAGCATAAAGACAAGGAGTAACTCCCTGAGCCCTGATGAAGGGGTCAGGAAAGCAGTGCTGCTTGTTGCTTGTGGTATAAACCCCAAGTTTTTAATGAACAATTCCATAACAATTTTAGGAATGGCAGTGTGTCCCAGACAAATGTCAGCATATCCCAAGAACACAAGGGGTTTACGTGCAATATCCTTCCTTGCCCCAAGTGCAAGGTTTCGGAGTATTAAGCACTGGAGGATGTGCAGCCTGGCAGGCAAGGAGATGTTCCAGTAGTAAATGAAGTCATCGGTGGGTACCCTCCGCATTTGGGCTCTTTCCATCCTTTAAGATAAGGCAGAGGGATCATGCACTGTCATTTTCTCTTTCATTCTTACCTTTAGGTCTGGGATCATGTTTCAGCTTCCAGGCTGGAGTGACCGTGCTGGGCTACTACTTTGTACGGTGGCGAACGCTGGCCAATGCCATGGCGTCCACTGGCGTCTCCCTGGGTTTCACACTGTGGCCGCTGCTTTCTCAATACTTGCTGGATGAGATGGGCTGGAGAAACACTTTCCTCATCTTTGGAGGAATATTACTGAACTGCTGTGTTTGTGGAGCCATTATGAGACCGGTACAACTTGAATCAGGGTCACCACTACAGTCACTCAAGCCTGCAGAGGAGCCAGAGAGGAGAGAAGAAGAGGCACAACTATCCAATGGAACATCTCCCTACCCTGAGCTCCAGCAGAAAACCAGGAAGACAGCATGCTTCCATATGCTGCAGAAGTACCTGGCTTTTGACATCTTCTGTCAAAACAAAGGCTACCAGATTTACACAATTGGAGTGACCTGGATGATGATGGGGTTTGCCCTACCCCACGTCTACCTTGTGCCTTACGCCATCCAGAACGGGGTGGAAGAACGCAGGGCAGCCCTCCTCATCTCCATTATCGGATTCATCAACATCTTCATACGCCCTTTGACAGGGCTGCTCTCAGGACACAGTGCCTTCACAGGGAGACGCATCTACCTGTTCAGCCTGGCTGTCCTCCTCTGCGGGCTGAGCAACTTCATTTGTGTCATTTCAGCTGAGTTCAGCGTGCTCATCGTCTACTGCGTCATCCTCAGTATAGCCATGAGCGGCATCGGGGCACTCCTCTTCCAGGTGCTGATGGATGTGGTGGAGATGGACAGGTTCTCAAGTGCTCTAGGGCTCTTCACCATCCTTGAGAGTATCACGCTCCTCATCGGACCCCCTCTCACAGGTGAGAGAAGCTACTGAGGCAGGCTGGGAAAGAAACCGTCGGTTAGACACTGGTCGGGGCATAAAGAGAAACGAGGGAGTTCCCAAACCCATGCAGGCAGGTGAGTTATGCCAAGGGAGCCATAGGAAAGGGGGAGGCAGAAAGAAACCCTCATCTCCTCACAGCTGAAGGAAGGTCATTGCTGCAGCTGTCCAAGCGTCACTGCAGCAACAGCAGACAGTGAAAACGTCACCCACCAGCTCTGGTAGGCACGGGAGCAAGGAGGGCTTTTTTCCAGCGAGTGGCAAGACGCAGAGAGGAATTACTGTGGTAGGATCTTGCTGTCTACGAACCCTTTCACCGCTTTGCTCATTTGCATTGTTTTACCTATGAAGTCCCAGGGAATTGCGAACATCCCATTAAACAAATTAACTGTGATCAGAATTATTACCAGCTCTGCATTATTCAAGAGCCTTATAGTAAAAGCTTCAGTTTGCTCTTAATTCCGAGTTCTAGAGCGTGCTCATTTTCCTCTGGAGACAAGAAAGGAGCTTCCTATGGCCCCCAATCCAATGAATTATTCACAGATTTCACAGTTCACTCCAAATGCCACTGAGTGACCTGTTGAAGGTGCACCTGCTCCTGCAGCACAGCAGCAGATTCAAAAGGCTAACAAGCAAGAAATGTGAACCTGAGCATGAACCCTCGATTCAGGCTTTAGTTCTCCAGACAATGAACTGTGTGCCATTCAGCAGAAAAATAATGGCTGCTCAAAGAATGGGATGATAACATGCACTGTATTTCATGGTATTCCCTGGAATTAGTGTGCCAGTCACTTTTCTCAAAGTGCAACAAAGGCCTTTCCTTGGACATCTCTGATAGGAGTGGCAGATGGGCAAAACAAAATACGGTAAAAGCAGCTCCATTTCTATTTACAATCCTGAAAGAGAAGTGCCCTTTGAAAAGAAACATCACCAATCTTTACTGAAGAATGCAAGCAAGCAAACAAATAATTCCAGTGTTTCCATGTAAATAAGCGGCCCATAGAGAAGGCATCGTATATTTGACCCGAGTATCACCTTTCCATCTCTAACATCAGTGTTACTCATTTGATATATCACACTTCTAAACATTTTATAATGAGGTGCTTAACGTTAGTGATAATCCTTGCTGTGCTGTGAATTTTCTTCTCCCTGATTACGTACTACTAGAGACAAGTTTTCAGTTTTCAGACACTAACATGTCAATTTTTGAGAGATTTCTTTCTCTATTTGTTCTATTTTCTGGCCTGGGACGTAACAGGGTCACTCTACAGTGGCACAGGGGTCCTCTGCTGAATAAACAAAATGAATCAGCAGCATGGGGAAAAGCTACAATTTCCTTTCTTTCCTGATTTTTCTGTGCCTTGAGACATACTTCATACAGACGCAGAAACATCACATGAGTGGTGACTACAAAAAACACCCAAACCAACAAACCCCCTAAAATCTAGGAATCTAGAAGACATATCTGCGAAGAGTTCTCTTTTGTATATGGCAGTTTGTGGAATGCTTGAAGTTTAACATCCATGTAAATGTCACCCAGTTGCCTTTAGCATCCACCTTCTCGCCGACTAAGCCGTGTCTTCTATTTCAGGTCTCCTGGTGGACATAACCAGTGATTTCCACTATGTCTTCTACAACTCCAGTTTCTTCCTGATATCAGCGGCGTTGTTCATGGGGCTCAGCTTCTGCGCTCTGGAAAAAAAAGCCGAAGTGAAAGAGGCTTCAAAAGTACCTTTGGGTAATGCCTCCAGATACCAATATAGTGAAATGCCAGCTGAACCCCAGCCTGAAAGTCAGTCCCCTCCCGCAGTCGTGTACATCACAAGCATATGACAAGGAGAAGAAAAAAGAGGAACACGGATAATTACGTGGCCTGTACAAAGCCACCCAAGGGCCAGCCCTGGTGGCAGGTGAGAAAACAAGCGTCCTGTGTTCCACAACTGTCATCGTCCTTCTGCCCCGCACTTGCGCTCCGTGGGGCCGTGTCAGACTCCACGTGAGCGATCCGGACCGCAGGCTGAGCCCAGAACCCGACGCCAGTCAAAGAGCCGAGGGACAAAGAGAGCTGTGCTTTCCTAAGGCAAACCGTGGGATAACAGCCATGGTAACCAGCGCTGAGAGACAAAAGCTGTGTCAGCTGAATTGGTTTAAGTCAGTGCCTTTAAGAAGTCACTGGAATTTCACAGGCACGTTTCAGCTGGTAGCGCTGGACAACAGGATTAATGGCTCTGCACAATGGTAGTTCTTTCACAAAGAAGTATTATTGCCTCATCTGAACATGTAATTTTGGTGAAGACTTATATAAAGTTTCCCAGTTGCTTCTCATGCTGGAGGTGGCAAGACAAACACTTTCCACAGGAAGCGCGTTACCGTTTTCCACATCTGGAGGCTGCCGCATGGGTTGTGGAACTCAGCCAAGTCTCCAGTAAGATCAAATATTTTCTCCTATGAGGAATATATATATGAGTTCTTCATGCCAAGGACATTTTCAAAGCCTCAAAGGTTCAACTCCAGAGCATCAAAAAGAAAAAAACCCAAAGCTTAGGGTGCCAGCTTTGAACCACTCGTCAAATCTCAAGGGCTTCTTGATATACCATAGAACAGGATTCATGGCTTGTGTAAATAACTTCTTTCCAGCATTACCTGGGACCCATTTTTAAGGGGTCGGGGTGCAGGGAGGGTGTTACTAGACCTGAGAATAAGCACATGTACCCTTCTATGGGGGAAATTCAAAGCCACTATAGTGCCTCCTTGTGTAAATCAGTTTAGCTCTTTAGTTGTAGATGCTCAGACCTAATTACACCAGGATTCACATTATAGAGAAGTTTGCCCAAGCATCACTGACATTTCTTACAGGCACAAGCATAACTTCCAGATAAATCTGTGGGGAAAAGCATACTGAGCAGAGTCAGTGTTACTGACTTTCATATCCACACGACCCCGAGTGGCTTTTCTTGCTACGCTCTTGGGAGTTACTCTGGTAAGCACTGAGGTGAGAGCTGCATCAGCCCCCCAGCCTCCCTCAGCATCAGCTCGAGCTGCAAACTGTTTATGTGCTCTATCACGCCCGATCTGACAGGAGCTGGTAGCTCACCAAGCACTGCTGATGAGGGTTACTCATCATTAGAACCTTCCGAAAGATGGAAGCGTAAACCAGGAGTGAAATGGAAGAAATAATAGCTCTCAACTCAACTGCAGTGCTTAGCTTGAGAACTGTTCTATCAAATTCCCAGCTACAAAATCAGTTTTCATTAGAGCTGCGGGCTCCCTGCACTAAACAAACCAACCAAAAAAACCACACTGGATGCCACCACTGGAAAACTGACACCAAGGTCTTTGGAGACTACAAAAAACACCAGAAAACTGACACCAAGGTCTTCAGGGCTACAAAAACCATTGGAAAACTGACACCAAGGTCTTCGGAGACTACAAAAACCACTGAAAAACTGACACCAAGGTCTTTGGAGACTACAAAAACCACTGGAAAACTGACACCAAGATCTTCAGAGACTATAATGGCTGCCCAGCTGCCTTTTACGGTTGAAGAGGATCAGCCCTTCAGAAGGGTTCCCGCTCCCACCACTCAGTAGTATCTATGTTTCAATACTGCTCTAGGATTACTGAACCAGGAGGCTTTGCATCTCCTGAGCAAACATATACTTAAATAAGATGGCTAGTGGGAGACACAGGTATCTAATCTCTCACCGCACATGTTTATTCATTTGTGCAATGCTTACGTGGTCCATAACTACCAAGTAAATAAACAAGGACCGGTGCTTCTCGGCTTACCGAAACCACGACTGCTGTGCGCTCCTAGGAAAAAGATTTCCCCCTCTCAGAAAAAACAATGACGAGGGATCAAGTGCCAAACCTCTTCCAGCTATTGCAAATAAAACAGCTAATCAGCTGAACAGATTGCCATTTTTTCGGTGTGTAATTCTTAAATTTTAAATTCTGTTTGTGTTTCTACATTCCCTTTCTGTTTTCTTCCAGAAATACGGGGTCATGTTTTCCCAAATTCTCCCACCACTACAAATGCCCTGGGCAAAACAGGCAAGATACGGTGTAAGCTACAAACCATCAAAATATACCAGAGGAAAATAAAGGTCAGTGGAAGGAGCAATAGAACGTCTCTCACGATCAAGCAGACGTACAATCTAATGCGTGCTCGCAAGACACGGGGAGGGGAGCCGGAAAGGTGCTCACCAACTGAGGCTGACAGAGATCAGCTCCTCCTACGCCGCAGCAAGGAAATCTGTTGTCACTATTGCTTATCTGGGTGCAACAGTGCGAGATAGTTGAGGATGAAAAGTTAGCAGAGTACTTTACAGAACTGCTTCTTGATACTCCCAGACTCAACGCCAGGGTCACTGGGAATTATTTGCAGAGGCAGAGATGTTTCTAGGAAGAAAAACAATGAATTCACCAATCCATTAGTTTATCTTTTCTCAACTTGTTGACTAAAAGGTTTCTAGCAGCCTTACAGAATTTAAGCAGCCTGAAAACAGGGTTGTCTTCCCTGGATACTTCCACAGAAGTAATCCACAACCCACAGGTTGGAAACAAATCTTGGAGAGAGAAGAGGTAATGTTTTAGGCTGTGTTTCCACCACTAAATAAGATGTCTGAGCTCCCAACACAGAGAAAAATCCCACTCTCCTTGCCTGTTCCACAGCTCTCTGCTCCTACCTCCCTTTCCAACCTGAACTCCGAGCTGCCCTGAGCAGGAGCTTTGTAAAGCATATTCGAAGGGACTGTGCATACTGAGCAGGCTACAGTGTAATAAATATTCCCCCTCAGAGCGATCGTACGGGAGCAGTAATACGCAGTCCTTAAGAATCTGGAGGCGCAGAAGAAAAATAAAGCAATAAAAGTTCCTTTCACTACTTTCAGGTTGCCCCATTACGCAAGGCAACCACAGCTTAATTACCACCACCCCCTGAAGCAGGTTTTTTTAACACCTACAGACAGTAAAACAACCCTGGCTTTAATTATGGACAAACACTAATACCTCAGCCAGGTTCCGAACCGAACCTCTGAGAACCAGCAGAGCAAGAAAAGTTGGCCAGAAATAGATGCCCCTCGCTCGCCTGGTCCCCTCTGCTTTCTGGTCTTCCTGCCCCCTTATCATTTCAAGTATCATTAACCTTGCAAGCTGAGCATTTTTGCAATCAGTACCTTTCCTTACTGTAGTGAAACGTTCACCAGGAAGCTCATGCTGATATATTGCAAGATCATGACCTCTGAAAGCCTTAGAGGCTCTGCCAATGTAATTCTTGGAAAAGTTTAATAAAAACCTAAAGGAAGGCTACGGTAAACTTACACACTTGGAAACACCTCAGAAATGCAAAATCCCTTGAATGAAGAGCTTGGCATGCTGTTTGCAGAGCTGGGGAGTGACTGCAAGAAAAGAAACACAACGACTAGAACTGAAAGCTCAGTGAAATTCTAATTTTGGTGTGCTATCCATGTCACTAAACCAGCCCCGAAGCTGGGAACACCCCAGCCACACTACCCCGTGCCGTGCTAGTGTCCTGGCAGATAGCAGGTGCTTGGAGCATTCAGACGATTAAACAACATAGCCGACACTGGGTGAGCAAACAGCATGAGTAAGAGGGTTACATACCCCTGCCAACTCTGCCAAGCGATCCTTGAGGGTGATCAGGACAAACTCCCGGCAGCAGGTCGGCACAAAGACAACAAGTGCACAGCCGGTGACAACGCGGGTCGTGTAAGCAGTACTGACATGCTCTGCAGCTCCTGCAGAAAACCCCTGTGGGCTAGAACCCAGGGGGTGTTACTGAACGCTGCTCCAGGAGGCAGCTCCAACACAGCAAATTAGAATCACAGAATGGTTTGGGTTGGAAGGGACCTTAAAGATCATCCAGTTCCAACCCCCCTGCCATGGGCAGGGACACCTTCCACTAGACCAGGTTGCTCCAAGCCTCATCCAGTCTGGCCTTGGACACTTCCAGGGATGGGGCATCCACAACTGTAAAATGTAAAATGCTTCTCACATCTCTTCACCAGTTTGATTAAACCCAGTGCAGGCCAAATGCCAGGAGGAGCACAGCTCGCCGTTCCCAGGCAGACAGGTACAGGTGTTCTCTCCTCCTGGTTACTCCTTGCCACGCACTGAACAGCGTGACCTGGGGACGCATCACCCGAAACTCAGCCATCACAGACACCAGCCTTTCCTAAACACTGCTGTCTGTGACACCACCCCGGGGGACAAAGTCCCTGCTGCTCCTGTGCATGCAAGATTATACTGACTGACCACAGGTGTAGTGCTTGCAAGTAGAAGTAATTACATTTTTCCTCCTTAAATGCTGTTTTTTTCACCCCTCATTAGTCAATCCTTAACCACTTCTCTTTGTACTGACCAGCTCTACGTGTTAGTGATTCACTTCCCACGTAAGGACAGATGTGGCTTTAAGTATGTCAACACTCAAGCGCTTACAAAGGCACCCATTACCAGAGATTTGCTATTACAGCAGCAAAGCCTTCGAATCCAGGAGTCTGCAGCACCTTTGCTGATCATTTTCATATCTACACACACATACACACACCCCCTTCAGCTGATAATGAAGGTGAGAGCTAACGTTGCCAGCACAGGGCTGGCGTACACCTTCATTCCAGGCAGAGAGAAACACCTCCCCTCTCACATGCCACCTTCCCACGCCGCTGCGATGCGAAGACATTCAGTGGTGCTGCATTCGGTGTAGCCTCTTCGCTCATCCTTCCATTTAATTTTACTACGTTTAATTTTACTACGTTTTATACTACATCCAGCTGTGCGGCAGGAGTGACTGTCAGCACCAATGCCACCTCTTT